GCAATGGCGCTATCATCTAGAGGAGTTTTATGGAGAAAAGAGAAACTAGGAAAAAGTAAGGTACTTCAGAGATTGTTTATTGAGGACCAAACCACCCTAGTGACCAGTCTCTAGTGACCAAGGCTATTTTGTAGCCCTGACTTGTGAAGGACAGTCCTCCAGGAAGACTATTTTGACTTACAGGCATATAGGAAAAGCTACATCAAATGGCGCTTCCTGAAGTCACAGGTTCCTAATGTGATTTCTAATTGAAAGAATCACCGAATCAGGGCTGGAGAGATGGCTCAGAGGTTAAGAGCACTGGCTGCTCTTCCAGAGGTCCTGAGTTCAATTCCCAGCACCCACATGGTGGCTCACAACCATCTGTAATGGGATCCAATGCCCTCTTCTGGTGTGTCTGAAGACAGCTACAGTTTACTCATATAAATGAAATACATAAATCTTGAAAAAATCACCGAATCAATTTATTCACATTTTGAGCTGGCTGTTTGAGTTTTATCCTGTCACTGTGATAAAATCCTCTGATCAAAAGCAACTTACGGTTTATTTCATCTCACAGTCAAGGCAAGAAGCTGAGAGCAGGGCTGCATACTATTCCACTCGCCATTACCAGTGACAGGACAACAGAAACTATGGAGGGACACCACTTTATAACTTATCCAGGCTGATGCTTAGCTAGCCTACATCTGGAGCCATCTGCCAGGAACCACCTGGTTCTTGTGCTGGGTCCTCCTATACTGATCAGCAAGACAGTCTTCCACAGATGACCCCACAGACCAGTCTGATCTAGATAAATCCTCACTGACTTCCTTTCAAAGGACTCTAGGCTGTGCCACATTGACAACGCTAACTAGGATGACAGTATATAAAATATCTCCTTTGCCTGACATTTTCTTTTTTTGGTGGCCTCAAACTCCTTAAAGATGACCTTAAACTTTGAATCCTCTTGCCTCTATCTTCTAAATGCTGGTTTTAAAGGAATGTATCGCCACAGCTAGTTTATGGTGGCTGGGGATTACACCCATGCCTAATGAATGCTAGGTAAGCAATCTACTCTACCAAGTGAACTACCTCCCCAGGCCTTATTATAACATTTACATACACACACAAACACACACAAATACATACATACATATATACATACATACATGCCTATACACATACATATATACACAGATACATATATACACAGATACATACACACACATAAATATGTATATACACATATATACACTCATACATATACACATACATACATATATACATGCATACATACATATATACACACATACATACATGCATATACACATACATGAATGCATACAAACACACATACACACATACATACATATATACATACTATTATTTCGGCCATAATAACCACCAATTATTGTCCCTTGCTCTCCTCTCTCTCCCATTGACTCTGTTCCTCTTTCATGCTAGTCCCCACTTTCGTTCTTCACTTCTGTGGTACCCACAATGGGTTGAATCAGGGTTGCTTGCCGGAGCATGGATGAGCTTACTTACAGGAGCATGGGCACCTTACCAGTGGCTACACCACTGGAAAAAAATTGCTTGTTGCTGGGTGTGGCAGCCTTTAATCCCAGCACTCAGGAGGCAGAAGCAGGCAGAGGCAGATCTCTGTGAGATCGAGGCCTGTGTGGTCTGCATAAAGGCTTCCAGGACAGCTAGGACTACATAGAGAAACCCAGTTTCAAACAAATTGCCTCTTCTAGGAGAATGGAAGGACTTCATGAGTCGCTCCCTGCTCCATGATGGACTGTTAGTGAGCCCAATCTTAGAAGTTCTTGTGCAGAGGATCACAGCTGCCGTTCATGTGTTCATGAGTACAACAGCTAGAAGGTGGGATTACACAATGCCCCTCCTACTTCTTCCCTTAGTTTTTCCGTTCTTTCTGCCACCTCTTCCATAGTGTTCCCTGGGCCTTGGATGGAGTAACACAGGTCTCCCATCATTTCTCAGCACTTTGACCAGGTTGTGATCTCTGCAATAAACGATCACCCACTACAGAAAGTTTCTCAAACCAATGCTGACAGCCCTAATCGATGGGAATAAATACAAGTGCTTATAAAACTGTTTGACAGGCACAACTTATCCATTTAGCAAAATCAACAGTAGTAGTTTTCCCACTAGGTCCTCTGCCTCAGGCTTTTGGCAAGGTTTACAGTATGAGATGTGAATGCCCTGTTAAGAAGCTAGCCTCAAAAGCTGGGCAGTGGTGGCACACGCATTTAATGCTGGCACTTGGAAGGCAGAGGTAGATGGATTTCTGAGTTCAGGGCCAGCCTGGTCTACAGAGTGAGTTCCAGGACATCTATGGCTACACAGAGAGACCTTGTCTCAGAAGAAGAAGAAGAAGGAGGAGGAGGAGGAGGAGGAGGAGGAGGAGGAGGAGGAGGAGGAGTTGGAGGAAGAAGCAGCTAGTACTTGGGGAGATGGGGTGTGGAGAGCCAACACAACATTTAAGAATATTTGTTGCCCTTCCAGAGGACCAGGGTTCAGTTTCCCAGCACAGGAAGGCTCATCACTGTCTGTAACTACAGTTGGTTATGGTAGCTACTAGAGGATCCTGGAAGTGACTGGTTGTCCCCAGAATAGTCACACCTTTACTGGACACATCTTGCTTGAAGTCACTGTAGCACACATACAGGGTTCACCATCGATGACACCCCTTTCCCAGCAGCCTGTGTAGCCCCTGCTAGCAGAGACGAAACTTCCAGGTCAGTTCCAGCTTGATTTCTCTATGAGCTGCAATCAAAGCATGTGATGTCTTCAACAATAGGGTCCTAACATCTAGTTCTGCTAACCAACCAGCAACAGGGCAATTCTCTTTTTGTTGGTTTGGATCCTCAGAGACAACACTGAGAAACATCTTTAAGAATAAGCATGTGGTGATTAGTTTTTTGAAAGGAGTGATTGAGGTGAATTATGTATATAAAAAGAATTAATAATGCTCAAAATATGAGCTGTACATGAAGATGAGGCCAATGGCCTCCCCATAACGGTGGGAGAGATGAGAAAGGAGATTTTTGCAATGATGTATAGAAGGAAGGCTGTGGCGGATCTGCCCAGTGCAGGTTCCTGTCTCAATAATGAACAGAATTATTTGGTGATAAAGAACAAATAACATGAAAACAGATATACTTGAAGCCATGAGAAATACTCTAAAGACTAAAGAATAATCAACCCAGACACCAATCCTTAGGAAATGCTTAAAGAGATAGGATGGGGAGAGCCCTAAAAAGAAAATCTAAAAAGTGATCACCAGAGTAGTGGGAGCAAAAAAAAAAAAAAAAAAAAAAGAAAAGAAAAAAAGAGGAAACAGCAGAACAGTAGCAAAGGGCAATAAATGTCAAAGAATGTTGAACAGTGTCAAAACAATACCAACTAATGCAGTCCTTACAGGTGGGTGAGGAGAGAGGACTGGCAAACGTGGGGATTGGAACAGAGAATGTCAATATCTAACAATAGAAAGAAAGAGGTGGGGGGAGAGAAAGAGAGAGAGAGAATAGAGAGAGAGATATGGAAATGTAATGGAAGGTATTACTTTGTTTACTAACTTTAAATTTTCAGTTTTTAAAAGAGAGGGGGACGGGAGAGAGTGGTGGAAGAACTCGGCCCCTGCGTGCGCGTGCGCTTGGGTGCGTGCGCGCGCGCGCGCACACACACACACAATTGTGCATGGTGCGCATGTGCTCTTGTGGAGGGAGCAGAAACAGAGACAGAAGCAAATGGATCTGGAGCTCAAAGCCAGCCTTGGCTACAGAGATTCTGTCAAAAGAAAAAAGAAAGAAAAGGAGGAGGAAGAGGAAGAGGAGGAGGAAGAGGACTGGAGATGTAGCTCTATTGGTAGAGGACTTGCCTAACATGCTTGGATTTACTCCCCACAACTACAAAACTGGATGTTGTTACAGTAGAATCACAAGTTCAAGGTCATATGTAGGAAGTTAAGACCAACTTTGGCTACAGAAAACCCTCTCTCTCAAAAAAAAAAAAAAGCAGCCAAAAAAAAAAAATGAAGCTTATTCTACTAGCCACAATTCCTAGCTAAAGGACAGGCAAGACAAAAATTACAGGTAGGAAAATTTAAAATATTTGCCAGTCATTTTATGAGAATTCAGAAACAACAGCAGCAACAAAAAGAAATGTCCTGGTGCTCAAATAACATGCGTGTAAGAAATGTGGAAGTGTCAATGAGGAACTGTCCCTTGCTTAGTCTGCATTGCTATTGTTATAGCTAGTTATTAAGTGTTGTGACTTCTGACATGGATTTTTTAAAGGTTGATCTTTTGGGTCAAATGTGCCTGTTATTGGTCATATGGAAAATATGAGATCGTCTTTACAGGACTCGAGATTTCACTCTGTATTTAAGACAACAGGAAATGGACTTCACTTGGAACTTGGACTTTTATTAATGGAGTAGTTTATCTTCGTGTTATAAAACCTTTAAAATATGGTTAAGAAAAGCCATCTGGAAACCTTTAAAATGTGATTTTAAGAAAACATCTGAGGGACAGATTTAGACAGGAGAGATCATGGTCTACGTAGTTCAGGGTGGTCTTGAAGTTGCTTTCAATGTCTCTTGATCTGAGGAGAGGAAGTGGTGGGGTTGGTGGGGTTGGTAGTCCTTGAACACACTCGGTTGCAGAAGATGATGGATGAACTTGGATTTTATGATCTTCCTGTCTTCATCTCCCCAAGGCCTGGATTACAAGACTGCGATTCCACGCCGAATTTTAGAATTGTTTTCAAATAGATTTCTAAATTCTTTAAAGTTTGAAAACCTTAAAACTTTTATGTAAATTTGCTCAAGATAGCTAGGAAACTACATTTCCCAAGAGTGCACGCGGTTAGTCGCCACACTGGTTTGGTCGCTTTACCAAGAGGCACACTGGGAAATGTAGTACTCCGAGCAGCGGGGCTCACAACACTTTAGACGGAAGACGGAAAGTGCGCCACCAGTGGCAGGACGGGAAGCGCACAAGGACTCTGCACACCCCCAATTTTGTGCGTGCGGTCGGAGAAAACGTCCAGGTCATCTATACCTCTCCAAGCAAGGTGCTGGCCACGGTTCAGCGCTGGCAAGCTGCTCGGAGGTCCCTGACGGGAAGGTGCCAACCGCGGGGGGTCGAGCTCGTACCCGCCCCACCCAGGCTGCGGCCGCACGGGGAGGAAGCGCGCACAGGCCGAGTGCAAAAGTTTCCTTTTCTGCTTTCCAGTCAGAGAAGCTTCAACTAACCGAGGGCGGAGATGCCTGACTTCAGTTGGAAGAGAACCCGGGAGCCAAAGGGGTTAAAATAAGCGACGTCCCGGAAAAACAAACAAACAAACAAACAAACACCTCTCTCCACCACTAGCCATGGGCAGCCGAGATCACCTGTTTAAAGTGCTGGTGGTGGGGGACGCAGCCGTGGGCAAGACGTCTCTGGTCCAGCGCTACTCCCAGGACAGCTTCAGCAAGCACTACAAGTCCACTGTGGGAGGTGAGCGGTCGTGGGTGGCTGGGAGCAGGGGTCGAGGCTTGCAGTCAGTAGCTTCTGGGTACTGAGGTCGCCTCTAAGGGGTTCCCAGCCTGCGCCGACTGCCTAGGACGACGTATACAGGTGAGAGATGGTGAAGGTGGAGGGGTCTGAGCCGAGGCTGTTCTCGGCGGAGGGCTATGCCCTCCTGCAGCCATGCGCTGCCCAGAGCAACTTCTCCAGCCAGCAAAGGCAGCTGAGCCTCGGTTCACGTTCAGTTTGGGGCAGATATCCTGCTTCCTACCAGCGTCAGATGGGTGTTGAGGAAAGAACCGACTTGACCTAAGGAGGAAAGCCAAGAAGCTAAGCAGTCAGGGGGACCGGGTGTGGGGAAGACTGGAGGATTCTGGTCAGGTCTAATGAGCCCTGGGGGGGGGGGGGGTAATTCGAGAACTTCGTGAGAAATTGAGAGGAATTCACGAAAGAATGTGAAATACACCCCGAGTGGCCTATCTTCTTCTCTCACACTGGGGAAGGCAGGGAGGAAGAGAGAAAGAAGCACTAAAAGTTCATTTCTTTCCCAGTGTGGCCTTTGGACTCAACTGAACCGTCCACCCCCCACTCCCCCCCCACACACACAGACACACACACCACCACAAGTAAAATGTAGTTAACAAGGTGCTAATATTAAAGAGTAAAATTATACTTGTACCAACATAGATTTTGAAAGTGGGTGCCGGGGTACATATGAAAGGATTTTTAAATTAACTCTTTACTTTGAAATAAAAACATTAAAGCACATTTGGCAAAGGACAGAAGAGATGAGATGGGTCAGTGGGTAGCGGTGCTTTATGCCAAGCCTGAGTTGGATTCCCTGACCCCAGAAGATGGGTGGAGGAGACTCCCAGACGTTGCCCTCTGCCCTCCATGGGCACAGTGGCACAACCACACACTATAAAATAGTTTTAATCAATTTTTCAGAAGTATCTGGAAAAATTAAGGGTTCAACATTTCAAAGATTGTTTTCTGACTACTTTGCCCACCACTCCTAAATACTAGACCTTATTTCATGGATTTGGGTTAAAAATGTCCGGTGAATTAGTTTTTACCAGTAGTCTTAGGTCTCCAACAGTATGAACGTAATTGATTCTGGCAAGTTTTGATTTGTTTGTTTTTCCCAGCGTTTATTATAATTTCTCCCTCATTTTTACTTCTGTCACAGGTGTAGATGAATATGTTTCCAAACTGAAATTATTCTGGTTTTCTCCTTAACAAATAGCTTTTCCGGCACAGTATGGTTGTCTAAACCTTTATTTCCAACACTCAAGAGGGTGAGGCAAGAGGATCTCAGATTGGAGCTAGGCTGCACTACACGACTTTGGGAGGTTCCCCTGGAATAGCTGTTCAGCCCAATCTCACAGAGTTTCAGCATCTGCAGACCAGTGGGGGATTCAGGGTAGCTCTTAAGCGGCATCCATGTAGTCTCCTCTGGCATCTTGTTCACTTAACCGGTACCTGCCTGACATAATTAACACAGGCTTAAGGAGGATACAGAGGTTTTCGTTGTGTTTTCTCATAATACTGTTTGATTAGATACTAACAGTGAAGTTGAGGTAGAAGATACAAAACTTAACTTCCTTTCCTCCACCTCCCCCCTCATCCTTTCCTTGAGAACTGCCCCCCCCAACGGAAAAACCCCCCAGAAACCATTTGACCTGAGAACAGGAATTATTGTCAAAACCGTTCCCACTTTCTTGTCCCTAGCCATGGAGATAATCAGTATGGAATAGTTTGATCTGATAGAGGAGAAAACACTGAAGACCCTTTGGAGAGTATTAATTACATGTCCCAGCACTTAAACACCGTAGGCCCATCTCCATCTCCTGAAGGCTTAAACCTAATTGGAGTGTCGTGATCCTGGGGCTGTCACTGTATATTTGATCTGAGCTTATGCTGGGATTAAAAAGAAAAACATTTACTTTGTGTATGTGTGTACATGTGCACTGTGACATACATGTGGAAGTCACAGGACAGTTTATAGGCTTGGGTTGTCAGGGTTGGAGACAAATACCCTCACCTTGCTTACAGAACCATCGTAAAGACATGTTTTTATTAAAGTATAATATTCATATATTTCCAGTGGATTTTGCTCTGAAGGTTCTCCAGTGGTCTGACTCAGAGATGGTGAGGCTCCAGCTGTGGGATATTGCAGGTAAAATGGGAAAACCAGACAGTAACAAGGGGAGAAATTATTTAACCAGCAGGCTCTTTGGGGTGGTGGGAGGGGGAAAATGAATATGGGATGGCAAGGCTGACATTTCTTTTTTCCTGAAGCTACAAGTTTGAGCTGCTCTGAGCTTTCAAGATGATTTTGGAGATGCATTGCTTCAAAGACAAAGAGACATAGTGCCATCTGTGTGGGGGTGGAAAAGCTTCTAAGGTGGTGGATTATCCATAGGTGGATATTCCCCTAGCAGCAGAGTGGGCGCCAGATCTTCAGCTGACTTTACTGAGAAACAAGATCTCTAGAAAATCGAGACAGTGATAATGATGAGCCCTTGTTATATGCTGCTCTTCGTACTTCAAATTTACTGGCTCACTAGCCCTGTCGTGAAAGCTTTTATCTTGCGCTGCACATGACAGATCTGAAGTGCTCAGCCTGATTTTCTTAAAGTCACACAGATAGCAAGTGGCAGACAGGGATTTGGCCATTGCAGTCTGGATACAGAATCCGCAGTGGAAATGATTGGGTTTAATAATCCCTTAATGGGATAGACAGAGTCAGAGAGTAAGGGAAGGCGCCTTCTCTACCATATATGCAGATGTCCTACCTTCCAGTGAAGGGAGGATACTCGGGGTATCAGAGGGTGCTCACCGTAAGAATCATCATCTTGAGAGCTCTCTCTTCTCTCCAGGGCAGGAGCGTTTCACATCCATGACACGACTCTACTATCGAGATGCTGCTGCCTGTGTTATTATGTTTGACGTCACCAATGCCACTACTTTCAGCAACAGCCAAAGATGGAAACAGGATCTGGACAGCAAACTCACACTGCCCAGTGGAGAGCCAGTGCCTTGCCTGCTCTTGGCCAACAAGGTGTGTGGCCAGTTTAAGTAAATGGCCCCTGGCATCTATGAGTGGCCAGAGTAAAGGTATCTAAAAGGTCCTGTGTTTCTGAGCATGTCCACCCTGTTTTGTTTATTTTTTTAAAGATAGTTCCTGTATCACCCACCAAGGTTGGGCTAGAACCCACAACCCTGCTTCTCTTGCCCAGGTGCTATAATTAGTGTCCCATGCCTGGCCACCAGCACATCAGTGTGCCTGTTTGTTCCTTTCAAGTTGGAAGAGTCACCTCTTCTTTCTTTTAAAGAGATTTTGAGGAAAATGGTTTTCCTTCTCCCCACCCTTAATTTTGTGTTTTGCCTACATGTATGTCTGTGCACTGTGTTTGTGTGGCTCCTAAGGAAGCCAGAAGAGGGCATCAGATTCATGGGTCTGGAGTTACAGAACGTTGTGAGCTGACAAGTAGGTGGTGCTGGGAATCAAAGAAGAGCAGCCAGTGCTCTTAACTACTGAGCCAGCTACATCCTTGAGAGTGACCTGTTTTTAAGGAAGAATGTTGACTGTAGACTTTAGATGTTGGGGGGGCGGGTCTTAACCATTGGTTGAAAACTGTTCTAAATACACAAACTCCTATGAAGATTATGGTGTTACCACTTATCCACTTATGTATTTTATTTTTGTCAGAGTGATCTGTCCCCTTGGGCAGTGAGCCGGGACCAGATCGACCGGTTCAGTAAAGAGAATGGTTTCACGGGTTGGACAGAAACATCAGTCAAGGAGAACAAGAATATTAATGAGGCCATGAGGTGAGTCGCTTCTAGTGTTCTAGAGACAGGCACGGAAACTGTTGTCCACTGTGGCCCCATGGATCCTCTTTTCTTATTTCTGAGCAAAGAAGTACAGATTAAGCCTCTGGGATGCCAGCTTCCCTGAGATAATTAGCACATGGTGGTGCTTACACCTTGTGTCATTGTGGAGTGCTCCTGGTGATAAGACAATGCCTGCTATACCTCCTCCTCCATCTGCCTTCCCGGGATTACTTTTCTTGTTTTCTGTTTGTTTTTTTAAGAGTCCTCGTTGAAAAGATGATGAACAATTCCAGAGAAGATATAATGTCTTTATCCACCCAAGGGAACTACATCAATCTTCAAAGCAAGCCCTCCTCCGGATGGACATGCTGCTAGTTCTGTTCGGCTCCTCTGTCCAGGTCTCTGAGTCATTCCATCTCTTCCTGTTGGTTGCCCACCTAGCATAAAAGTTCTGTTGAGAATATTTGACCCGTCTCTTGCCAGTTGCCTGGAAAGGAGCCCCATTGTGACTTGAGAATGGCTGCCTTGGGGGAAAAAAAAAAAAAACGGGCGGTGGTGGCACACGCCTTTAATCCCAGCACTTGGGAGGCAGAGGCAGGCGGATTTCTGAGTTCAACAGTTCGAGACTAGCCTGGTCTACAGAGTGAGTTCCAGGACAGCCAGGGCTACACAGAGAAACCCTGTCTCGAAAAACGGAAAAAAAAAAAAGAGAATGGCTGCCTGGGACCCACGTGCCTTTGTGTTGTTCCTGGATGTTGTCTGTGACTTACTGATGGCCCGTGTACTATAGTTAGTGTTTTCTATGTGACAGTGATCACCTCATTCCTCAACTGTGAAATGAGTTTGTGAGAAGGAATAAAAATTAGCACTTGTGTATTGTGTATTGTGTATTGTGTTTTGTGATGCTGGGGATTAGACTCAGGGCCTTGCTCCTGCTGGGCAAGCACATTGCTACTGATGTATCTCCTAGCCCTAGTATCCGGGTTTTAAAATAATTCTCAGGGCCAGAAAGATAGCTCAGTGAGTAAAGGCACTTGCCACCAAACCAGAAAACCTGAGTTTAGTCCCAGGGGCCCATGTGGAGGAAGAACTGACTCACACAAGTTAGTCCTATGACTTACGCATGCTCACACACACACACCAAGGGACACTCTTGCTCTCAAGCATACAAAGTAAATAAGTAAATATAAAAAGTAAAAGTATTACAAAGATACCTGTGGTATATATGCCTACAATCCTAGTGCCTGGGAAGCTGAAGCAGGAGGATTACATGTACAAGGACAGCTTGGACTACATAGTATAAGATCTCATCCTTAAAAATAACAATAGCTGGGTATGGTGGCGCATGCCTTTAATCCCAGAACTGGGAAGACAGAGGCAGTCTGATCTCTTGTAAGTTCGAAGCCAGCCTGGTCTACAAGCAAATCTATGACAGCCAGAGCTATTACATAGAGAAATCCTGTCTTGGAAAACAAACAAACAAAAAACCCAATAACAATAATAATACTCACCAATTTTTGAGATTTTTCTTTTCTATTTGATACAGAAAAAATACCATGACTTCAGATTGATGGAAAATAAGATCAGATGGTCTCTCAACCAAATTCCATTTTCTTCCAGATTCTTCCTGTTTTGGATCTAACATTTCAACATCAGATTCTGAGGTGCAGGGGGAAGACATTGAACACCCAATTTGGGGCTACTGGTGGTAAAGCAGAATCACTGTGTTTTTTAAGCTTTTAGTCATAATTAACTCTACCTTGACTTGGCTTCAAGAATAGCCAGGTTTCAGGCTGGAGAAATGGTTCAGCAGTTAGGAGCACTGCTGCTCTTAGAAAGAAGCCAAGTTTGATTCAATCCCAGCACCCACATGGGAGGCTGAAAACAACCTGTAACCCCAGCTGAGAGGGATTTGTCATCTATGGCCTTTTATATGCATAGATGGATGTACACATACATACACACAGATACATACACACAATAAAATCTAAAAACAGGACAATAAAACAAGTTCATCTTCAGCCACATTTTTAAAAAGAACAAGAAAAAGAAAGTCAATAGTGAAATAGTGAAAGGAATAGTGAGTGGCATCCCGGCAGATAGAAGGCTAAGGCAGAAGAATTTGAGACCAGTCTGGGCTACCTAATTAGACTGTGTTTCAAAACAATAAAAAGAGACTGGAGAGGAGGCTCAGTGGTTAACACTGAGTAGCTAGTGGTTAGTGGCTAGAGTGGCTGCTCTTCCAGAGGACCAAGGTTCAATTTCAACACCCACTTGACTGACAACCGACTGCAACTCCAGTTTCCAGGGGATCTGGTGCCCTCTTCGGGCATCCTCAGGCATTGCATTGCATATAATGCACAGATACATATGCAGGCAAAACACCTATAAAAATAAAAGTAAACAAACCTTAAGCTTTAAAACTGTATCATGATAGCATTCCTTGTTATTCCACACATTTTTAAAAGATTTATTTATGTATACGAGTACTCTATCTGCATGTACACCTGTGGAGAGCCGCAGAGTGCCGCGCCCTTAAGATGGCGCAGGTCTCTGCCTTCCGCCACCTGTTGGCGAGTGCTCTCAGGAGTAAACAAGTCCTTATTTGGCTGTGGCTAGTGATCTGGCTTGCTTCCATGTATGTGGGCCTATCTGCTGTTGCCACGTGGCAGACAGGGGTAGGCTATTCCTAGAACACTTAAGCCTGGGAGACGCTTTCCCAGAGGTCAGTGAGAAACTTATTCAAGGTCCTGAATAAACTGCTTGGAGAAGAGCTCATGTGTTGTGTCATCCTTGCTGGACGAGGGTGGGCGTGACATACACCTGCAGGCCAGAAGAGGGCATCAGATCCCATTACAGATGGTTGTGAGCCACCATATAGTTGCTGGGAATTGAACTCAGGACCTATGGAAGAACAGCCAGTGCTCTTAACTGCTGAGCCATCTCCAACCCCCATAATTATTTTAGTTTTTTATTTTATTCTCAGGCTTATCCAGGGTTTCTTGACCAGTAGAGGCAAGGATTTTAGGGAATGTCCTGGGCTGATATATTTTGTCATTTTGATTGTTTTGTTTCAGGATCTCACTCTGTGCCCCCTCCCCCCAATCCAGCTTGGCTGATGTCTCAGTGCACAGAGCTGTAAATGAAACCGATCAGCCCAGTGTTCTGCAGTGGGTCTGTTCCTCATGGCTGCACTGTAAATGAAACCGATCAGTCCAGTGTTCTGCAGTGGGTCTGTTCCTCATGGCTGCACTGTAAATGAAACCGATCAGTCCAGTGTTCTGCAGTGGGTCTATTCCTCATGGCTGTAGGGATCTGAGTGAAGAAGAGAAAGGAGAGGTTAGCCAAACGGGATTCAGTTATGAACACCATGAGTAGCTGGTGCTTAACAGACACAGAAAACAAATATTCACGAGCCTTGGCTTTAGAGTAGAGAAAGGACACACTGAAAATCATTAGATAATTCAAGTACTATAAATTAGGCAGAAATTTGTTAAGTTTTTCCCAGAATGGTGATTTGTAAACTACCCAAGGCTAATCTCAGTGAATTTGAGACTATAGTAAGGCCTGAAATTATCGGCTAAGTCTTAAATAAGTGTCCCATATCTGGTTCATCAGAACCACCATATAAGCATGTGTATGCATGTGTGTGGTATATGTGCATGTATATGTGCTGTGTGTATGCATTTGTGTGTATTTGTATATGTGTTTCATGTTTAAAGCTTTTTAGAGGAGCAATCTTAAATCTATTCAATGAAAATTTCCAGTAAAGCATGGGAATGTGTTTTCAAAGTTTCCCAGGTTCAGCCAGGTTTGGAAACCAGTGCTGGCAAGTGTGGCATAGATAGAGGCCATTGTCTTTTCTCTGTGGCACTTCTGGATGTTCTGTTAACTCTCTGGTGACTCTGATGTACACACTAGGCTTTGAAAACCACTCTGCAGAGGCTGAAGAGATGGTTCAGCGGTTAAGACCACTGCTGCTTTTCTGGAAGATGAGATGAATTCCTGGTACCCATGTCAGGTGGCTCACAGCCCCTACCTGTGTGTAACTTCAGCTACAGAGAATGTGATGCCCACTTCTGATCCCTTCAGGCATGTACACACATGAAAAACATACAGAAAACACACAACATAAGTAAAAATAGCAAAAGATAAGTATTTTTTAAAGGAAGAGAAAAAGAAAACCACTCTCCAAAGAAAGAGGTTACTAGTATGGTTGTACAGGCCTGCCTGCACACAGAGGCTGAGGCAGGAGCATCAAGAGCTCCAGGACAGACTAGGTGAGCCTCTGTTTAAAAATATAAGGATGGTGAGATGGTTCAGCAGATAGAAAGAAAGAGGCGTGGGGAGAGAGAGAGAAGCTTGCTGCCCCAGGGCCCACATGGTTACAGGAGAGAACCAACTTCCACTGACTCATTGTGCTCCAGTCTCTCCACCCAGCCAGGATAGATAAATAAATAAATAAATAAATAAATGCGATTTTTTTAAAAAATTAAAACAAGCTCTCTGCCCCCTCACTCTCTGACCCCTTTCTCCCTCTCTCCTTCCCCCTCCCCGCTCTCCACGTGTTCCTGGCCAGCCTCTCCTCTTCTCTTTCTCTGCCTCAAATAAGTTCTGTTCTGTACTAAAAATTAAATAGAATAGAATAAACAAAAACAAATGAGGATTTCCAGAAGCCAAACAGGAGAGGACAGAGGACTCCGTTTGGGTTTTGGAATGAGGTCTCACTCCACTGCCCAGGATGCTTCACTCTCCCAGTGCTCAGATGAGAAGCAAGCACCACTGATGCCAGTCACCCGGCCTTCGGGCTTCTCTTATATTGCGATTCTCTTATATTACTGTTGTCAGATAGCCTTCTGACTATAGTTATTGTCTCTCCCTCACCTTTTCCCTCCCTCTCCCCCTCTTTGGTTTTTATACAAAGCATATTACCATTTACCCTGGGAAGACCTAAGCCACAATCACCTTGCCTCAGTCTCCCAAGTGCGTGGACTAGAGGTGGGCACCATCACTGTCAGGCCCAAACTGCCATGGTTTTAGAGATATAATTGTCTTAACAAATTCTATTTTTGTAAAGAGAACATTGATTTTTGTGTGCTTATTTGAATGCCTGGGAAAGTCACAATGGGAACTAGGTCTTGTATTCTTGGTGGTTAGTATTTATTGGCCTTTAATGTGTGCTTGTTAGTGGGCTGTTTTATACTATTAGTTCAATAGTATTGGGGAAAATGGAAAGAATTTTTTTGTTTGGCCTTTTGAGACAAGGTCTTGTATATCAGACTGCTGGGGTCCGAAAATCCAAAACAAACCAACCAGTCTCAAGAGTACAGTGAAACAAGATCTTTAATTGAATTAGACAGAAAAAAACAGACCGGTCAGGGACAACAGTACAGACTGGGGAGCTGACTGTAACTTCAAACGTTCATCTTAGTAAGTATGTAAGCAAGATGTCAAAAATTTCTTGTACTTAGGCTGCTGCTGATCAGTCAGGGCCGCAGAACAGACTCAGGAGCTGAACTGCAACCTGGAACCAGAATGCTACAGAGTTTTTAAGCCCAAAAT